TGGGCTGGTGAAGCTGCCACAACAGGCCCACTTTCACCCCAGGACCTCCCTCTGTTCCTCAAACGAAAGCCCCCTCTGCCCAGAAAGCCCTTCCCAGGCTCTGCACATACCTGGCTCCTTCCCTCTATTCAGGGCTGGGCTCAAGTGTGGGCCACGCCTGCCTTCACCCCTCACCCCTCACCGCGGGCACCAGGCCAGCCCATCATGTTTCCTCAAAGCCCACTTGTCCTGTCCATTCGCTCACTGGCCCCAAGACTCCCCCCTGTGAGAGCAAAAGTTCTGAGGACCAGAATCTCAGGGCCTAAAATAGCTCTAGCACACCGAGGGTGCCCATTACATTTGGGGGAGTGAAGAGCATACGGATGGAAGGAAGGACAGGAGGAAAGAAGGAGGGAGCGCGGAGGGCAGAGGCCAGCTGTCAGCCGTCGCCTCATCACCTCTCACTGCAAGCCCTGGGTCTGTCCCCAGACCGACGCCGGGGACCCTCTGACACCCAACTACTCTGAGTCCCCAGGTGAGTTTTCCTCTGTCGCTCATCACGCATGTTTCCTGAAGCAACACACCCCCCTTACTCTAATTAACTTTTAATTAGCCTGCGGATCTCAGCTCAGACACGATGTCACTCAACGTTCAGTCAACAAAAATCGCTCTACTAAGTTACTAGTGAGAGAACTTTTGGTGATGAAGGAGACGCTTTTAGCTTTAATCTAATGCCTTTCTACATAGACTGGATTTTCTAACTGTGTACAGATATTCTTTTAATTTTACATGGATTATCTAAATATGGAATCATGGACTCCTTCCTATTTTCTTCGGAATGTTCCCCTGCACTGAAAAAATACCCAAATAAATGTTATTTTTAGATGTCAGGACCACATGACTTAATTATTACAGCTTTATTGTGTGGGTTAATACCTTGTGAGAAGCCACTTTACTGAGTTCTAGCAAATAGCCTTCAGCTTCCTAAGTAGACGACTCCGTCACCCGGAAAACAATCGTTTCAGCCTGTCCGCTTTCCCTCTTCGCTCCGTTCGCTGCTCCCCGCCCTAGGACGTGTGGAGCCGCGGTGTCACCAGGCGGCGGGGGCATCGGGGCTCTTTCCTGATTCTAATGGGAATATTTCTGAGGTTCGTCGTTAAGAAGGAGCCCCCCGCCCCCGGGTGGAGGAGGCGTCCTTCCATTGTCGAGCCCAAGAGGAACCATCTGCACAGTCAGAGACACCTCTGCTGGCTCTTCCTTCCTTTCCAGACTTCCCCCCGGGCCCGGGGTCCCCAGAGCCAGGCCACAGCCTGCCCCCCTGGGCTCCTGTCCCCGCTCACATAACCGCTGGCTCTCTCCCAGACCAACCGCCACGGCTCCCCGCCCAGGTGTCCCGCGTTCCAGTTTCTGCTTCTCTGGGCCCCGGGGCCTTAGCTTGAACTTGGCGAGGACAGGGATTGTCTCTGCCTCCCAACTCCGTCCTTGCAGGGTGTCTGTCTGTTTTTCTTCGATCCACTGAGAGCGGGAAATACTCATGAGAATATGTAATTGAGAACAGCATGATCCCAATTCTATAAAGCCGTTTGTATGAGAAAGCCCGGGGAGAGAAAAAGCCTGGAAGGAAGTGCACAGACATGCTAAAGGGTGGTTATTTCTGGGAGCCAGCGACGTGCGGCGTATGCGGATGGCCCAGCCCGCTTTTCGCTTTTCGCTGAGTGTGACGAGGTGCCAGCAGCGCCGTGGCAGTGTGGAGTCATCCTCAGGGAAACTCTTGCTTCCCTTGCTCTTAGGTTGCTGTTTAAAACCGCGCTGCGCCACCAGTGTGTCCCTCCTGGCCCGAAAGTGCCTCCCGGAGGGAACGGTCATAATAGTGCAGCTCGTTGCAATCCCCCTGCCGGGAGCGGCCCTGCTGAGAGTTAGGGGTTCGGGCCAGAGCAGGGCCACAGTTCCTGCCTTCACTCTGCGGAGGGCGGAGGGGAGGCTGCGCTCGGGGGGTCACCGCCACGGGTGCCTCGGTGACAAAGGCCGGGACGAAGGCTCTGCCCAGGCTGAGGGGTGCTGCCGGCCGCCCGCAAGGGATTGTCGCCCCAGGGAAATGTGGCCAGAGCTCCTCGTTCTCAAAGAGAAGCTGCAAGTCAGGCTTTCATGGGACAAATCCTAAGTTTCAAATTGCAGAAGAATATTTAACTTTTAAAAAAATACAACAAAATATGCACTAAAACACTGCATGTAAAACAAAACAAAAAGCCCAAAGCACACACCGTTCTGCGAGCCTTGGCGCCGGGCGCTGTCTGCTTTGGAAGGGCCCCTGGATCGCGTCCCCCAGTCCCGGGAAGCCCAGACTCTGCTTTGTGCCTCCTCACGGGACAGAAATCTTCAGACCAGGGATCAGCAAGGCTTTTCCTGGCCAGACGGTGGCTGTTGTCAGCTCTGGCGTCTCCGCTCCGCGGCTGCACCTTGAGAGCTGTAAACAAATGGGAATGGTTGCTCCCATACAATTTATTTACAGACACTGAAATTTCATATATATTTTTACACGCCATGAAAAAATATTTTTCTTTTGATTTTTTTTTCCAGCCATCTAAATATGCAAAACCATTCTTAGCTCATGGACTGTGAAAAAAGCAGGTGGTGGGCTGCGTTAGACCATCAAACCCGGGGATGTTTCTCTGGGAGCTACTTGTTTGCGGCTCTTGAGTCCTCGCTTGTTCCAAGCTGCCTTAGCCCCCTTGGGAGGCCGAGTCACCCCAGAGGCAGGCCTGTGTGTAGGTCCCCATCACCTCATGGTTCTGGCTGGTCCATTTCAGTAGGGTTTGCATTTCCCCTTCAGCTGAGCCTTTTCTTCCCAGGAAATCTTTGTTGGTGGATGTAAGACAGCTAATAGCTGGTCCCACAACCACTGCCCCCGCCCTGCTCAGTGGCCCTCGACGTACAACCCGGGAAAAGTGTGGTTGATGGAGGAGCCGCTGGTCCAGTTTGACAGTAGGGGACGGACCACAAGCCTGTCATAAAGCCACCTAGCAAAGGACTTTGCTCCCAACTCTAGGCTGTGTTGGAGAGAGAATAGTTGGCAGCGGTGGTCAGGGGCATTGGGGGCAGGTGGACTTGCACTTGGAATGACCCCCTTAGAGCTGCATCCTCGGGGGCCACTCACTTCACTCTGCCTCAGTTTCTTCCTCTGGGAAATAAGGATCAGAATACCAGGTGCCGCATGGGGCTGTTTTGAGAGCTAAAGACGATAAAACAGGTAAAGTGCTTAGAACGGTATGTGCTATATGGTGTGTGCTCAACGTGGGACTTCTCCTGACTTACATGCAGCCAGCTGGAGGGGCAGGCGGCTTAAAAACAATCAGGGACGTGTGAATGAACCTCGAGTGTCTAAAGGGGAAAAAAAATGAAGGTCTTTTTTCTTTTTTAAATATATCTTTATTGATTTCAGAGAGAGGAAAGGAGAGGGAGAGAGAGAGATAGAAACATCAGTGATGAGAGTCATTGACCGGCTGCCTCCTGCACGCCCCCGACTGGGGATAGAGCCCGAAACCCGGGCATGAGCCCTGACAGGGAATCGAACCCCGATCGCCTGGATCCTAGGTCGATGCTCAACCGCTGAGCCACGCTTGACCGGGCAAGGCCTTTTTTCAATATTGGGAAAGAAGTTATGAATTTGTCTTCCTCCCAAGAATTTCCTTGAGTCTACGTCTCCTCTCCAGGACGCCCCCTCCCGGTTCTGAGTCCGCTCTTTGCCTGGGGGACAAAGAATCAGAACCTAGAGGGTGGCCTCACGCTGCATCGCATGTGCTGTGAAATGCCTCTGGCGCGAAGCCTCTTGTAGTCGGGATTAAGTATCCGCCACTCGTTATTATAAGAATAATACACTCACGGTGCACTGGGGAAACCACAGGCTTTCGCTCCCCACCTCCAGCTGTGACATCTCAAGCTCCTCTGTGGTCCTGGGCGGCCTCATCATTGAACTTGAGTGCGAACAGCTCTTACCTCCAGGGTGGCACCAGGAGTGGACGGGAGAGGAAAGCAGGGTTTCTGCTCTTTGCCTGGCCCATTGGAAGCACTTTAAGTGTGACCATTATTCCGACATGCCTAGAGCTTTGCAAAAACTTAACGCGTCTTCACGTATCACCTAATTTAATTCTTAACGTGTGATTCTAAACCTTGTCCTCTGTCCCCGACACCACTGGCCCTGCTCCGCGACACGCCTTCGGGTAGGGGCGGGAAGGACATCGTGTAATTCCAGCCTGTTTGTGGTGAGAGGTTATGAAGTTGTTTGTCATGGATTAGAACTGGCAGAGCCATTAGCTGCCCCCGGAGAGCGGTTAATTGGATAGTTAACAAACACCCACATCGATTATCAAACACCCACAAGGAGTTAAGTCAAGCTGATGTTGAAGAAAGAAAAGGAAGCGAAATGCTGACAGTTCCCCAAGATGCAGCCGTGCAACTCTGTGCCTCCCCACAGCGGGGTGAGCCACGCAGAGCGCAGAGCTTGGCAAGCCCTGGTCCTGGGCGAGGGCAGGGAGGGGACGGCCCTGTGCCAAATGTGAGCGTTATTGGGGGGCGTGGGCTGCTCCTGAGGGCCTGGAACCTACACCCTGGACTCGGCAGATCTTGACTGGATTTCTAGTGCTACCCTATACCCGTGTGAGCACAAACAAAATGCCCATGCTCAATTTCACCGTCTGTAAAATGGGCAGGTAAGTTATGTATGTAAGTGCCACTAACTGGGGGAAAGGGAAAGGAGAAGGCAGCCCTCGGAATGAATGCTTACGCTTCATCATTCTTTGCTCTTCTAAATGGATCCCAAGACCATGCAAAATCGAGAAAACAGAAAATTTCAGTCTTTTTCTTCTTTTCTTCCCTCTTCTGGTCTCCTTTTTGTGCCCTAAGGAGGATGCTGATGGGCTAGCCTACCCCTATCCCTCAACACGCGGCGGCCTCCACCGGGGGGTGAGGGGCTGGTGGCCCGGCGCTGTCTCCTCCCCAGCTCAGGACCACGTTTGTTCCCACAGGCGCTTTCCGAGGAGTCTGCAAGAAAATTGACCACTTCCCAGACGATGCTGACTACGAACAGGACACAGCTGAGTACCTGCTGCGTAAGTTGCCCCGCTTCGCTTCTTGCTCCTCGGGGCTCCCCAGGAGGAAGGGAAGGGTGCCCTGTGGCCACCAGCTGCCTCTGAGCGGGAGGAGGCTCACAGCCACCCCAGAAATGGACCTTTGCTGCTGGGCAGACGTTCAAGCGGATCCGATACCCAAGTCACTTCAGTGAGCTAGAGATAGGAGGGTAAAGCAGGCAGGTGGGGGCCTTTGCAGTCTGCGTGGGAGGAAACCTAAGGCCTTTTCTTTCACTGGAATCCAAGTTTTCACCTTCCCCAGAGGGCTGAGTGGAGGTGCTAATGGGAGAAGCGCTAAAGGGCGAGGTGCTAAGGGGCAGGGTGCTAATGGGCTAGGTCCTAAGGGGAGAGGTGCTAAGGGGCGGGGTGCTAAGGGG